AATTTCTGATTCCTCCCTTGTCAAGAAAGCCAAGGAGCAGGGGGGAAATGCTCTGCATGAGTCCCACCAAGCTGCACCCAGGGAACCCACCAACATAAACAGGAGTGTGTGTAGGTGCACAAACCAGCCTTGCCATGACGCCTGACCAGGCCCATGCCTCCTTATGTGCAATGCCAAATGAGTGAGAGGAGGGCCCCCTAGCCTGCCCCACTGGGTCTGCTTGAGTGTGTTGCAGCTGGCTGGCTACCTGGCAGGGCTGTGGTGCTGATGAACAAATGGGTCCCCATAGCTAGATGAAGAGACAAAGACTAACAACTCAGCCTCACCTCAATCTGGGTCTGGCCCAGGACCTCCCACTACAGCCAGGGCATCCACTCTGCAACCCCCAACATAAAAGCAACAGGCTCCAGAAGTTGCTCCAACTAGTCAAGCCTCCTGGGAGGATGAATTCTAGAAGTATAAGAGCAAATGATGCTCAAGTTATGAAGAATGTCATCAGATGGAGACTGTGAGGGTTTAGGGTGTCCCCTAGCCAGGGTCTAGTGTCTAGACACCCAACTACGTAACACTGGAGGGGGCTTTTCAGAGAAATGTTATATGTGTCCTTCAGCAATCACATAAGCTGATATTTTCAGTTAGCAACTTAATAGAGACTGATTTTATTTATTTATTATTTTTTTTAAATTTTTGGTACTAGAAATGGAAACCAGATGTGCTTAACCACTGAGCTGCATCTCCAGCCCTTTTTATTTTTTTTTTTTATTTTGAGATGAGGTCTTGTTAAGTTGCTTAGGGCCTCACTTAGTTGCCGAGGCTGCCCCTGAACTTGAAATATTCCTGCTTATCTTCCCAAGACATCAGGATTACAGGCATACACTACCACGCCTCACAAGACTGATTTTTAAAATGACAGGATTTACTTAAATTACCTTAAAAATTTTTCATTTAATAAATTCATAAGCACTAAACATAAGCTAAGCACTCAACCATCCCTGGGTGACACTGAAGCCCTCAAGAAAACGTACTTAAAATGAATGATTAAATAAATGGTTTACTTTTTTTCAGAAACAAAAATGCAGGGCATAAAATACAATACATCAACTGAAAACTAGGCAGAAAAAAAGGGCAAGGAAAAGAGAGTGAGTCCCCGTGGGACCCAATCAGGCTGCCAAGGAACTGAATTAGCTAGGGTTTCCCAGGCTGGCCCTGGCTGAAGCTGTCATCTCTTGTCCCACCGTCGTGAGGAACCCTTGTGTGGGGATCATGCGCCATCTAGCGGTGGCATCAGCCCCGGCAGGAGCCACTAGTGTAGAGGAAGGCGCTCCGCCCCCTCCCCCGCCCCGAGAAATGGGTGGAGCTCAATCAAGTTGTTCAGCGCCAAAGGCCAAAAGTGCTCACAGAGGTTAAATTGTCTAGACATCACGTGAGCCCCGCGAGATGGACTCTGTTATCACCATTTTATGGATGAGGCTGAGAGATCAAGAAAGGTTAAATCACTTGATCAAAGGCCCGTGAACCAACGGCAAGGCAGGGATTTGACTCAGCTCACCCTGTGCCCCGCTGAGAGGAAAGGCTGGTGCTCTCACATTCAGGCTTGGAGCTCTTGGGCGATGCTCAGCCCCTTAGAATAGAGTCCAGATGCTATGACAAGGCATGCAGGAGTCAGCCACTGCCTGCCTGAGTGGCCCAGCTCATTCTGCTGTCCCCAATACCTAGCACAGTGTCTGACCCACTGTAGGAGCTTGACAAACATTTCCAAATGAATGGATGAATGCACGGACAGCAGGATGGATGGACAGAGGGTTGAGGTGAAACTCACTGCCCAACCGCTTAGCCCTTCCAGGACCTCATCAGCACCACATACTGACCAGCTGAGCTCATGACGTGTCCATCAGGAGAGAGGACCTTCCTGCCCACAGAAGCCTACCAAGAGCAACTGAGTTCCAGGTTGCCTAACTTCCTTCCTGCCACTAATGTCACTTCAGTTCTAGGAAACCACATTGCCCAACAGAATTTCTGGAAAAACACCTGGTCAGTACTCAGTCTCCTCAAGTTGGTTCCTCTATATGGTCCAGGAAACCCCTAGTTGGCAACATGGGGCTCTGAAGTATATGAAAACCTGCTGCATCTCAGGTTAGAGGTAAGCGGAGGGCATGGGCCTCCTCTGACTTGAGAAGCACTATGATAACCAGACGACCACTTTCCCAGAGGTCTCTGCAGCTGAACTTCTTCAATGGCCTGATGCCGCACTCAAGAAAGTGATTTCATACATTCGAAGAGGGAATGTGGAGGAGGAAGAAGAGGAAAGATGTTACATGAAAGCTTGGGTGTTTCAGAGAATGATCACTGTGAGTGACCATGTCCTTTAAAAACAGCAGTTGTAAAAATACTTTTACTGCCCAACAGGAAAAAAAATAGTAGCTTCATTTACTGAGGGCTGCATCATGCTGGTGTTATATAATCTTCAAAATGACCCAGTGATGTGGGCGTTCTGGGCTTCATTTTACCAACGAATGAACTAAGGTTCCATGTCACACAGCCAGACTGTTCCTTCACAGACACTCCTCATTTTCATTCCTATTAGATTTTGTACCCCTCTGTCCTAAGGACACTGGAGAAGAGGTGGTAACTTAGGATCTGAGGCCAGAGATCCTAGTGGGTCCTCTTTCCAGAGCTCCCTATGACCTGGACACATGGCCTGTTCCTCCATGAAGCCAGGCAGGGCTGGCCTACTTTTATCTACTCACAGTCACAACATTCTCTCTCCTTTTTTTCCCATTATAAACACATATATTTCATTTGGGAAACATCAGATTGAAAGTCCTGGAGGCTGAAATCATTTCTCTAACCCAGCATGGTGACAGCAGGAAAGCAGTTCTATTTAGTCAGCTGCTGACTACCCTGCTCAGGCCCCACCTGGCATTTAGAAGGTTCTCTTTGGTGACTGAGTTTTATATAAAATACGAAATAAAGACAGAAGAAAACAAAGAATAAAGAAATGATAGCTATTTTAACGGCCTCTTCTATTCCTTTTCCTTTCTACTCCTCTTCTTTTACCAGAGTCATGTATTTCCCCCTGAGATTTCTGACAGCCAGTAATGGATATGTGCTCTGTCTGTTTGGATGGACTTGCAGACAACCTGATCTCTGGATTCCCTGACTCCCCCTGGCCTCAGCATGGGAGGACTGACATTTGTCCCTCATGGGCTGGCTGCACACTTGACACTTGTTCTTGATCACAGTAAACTTGGCTTTCAGCTTTACAGACTGCTGATGTCCACCTCCCATAGCTTCCACCTGATCCTGTCACCTATCTTGCCCCAGATCTCTGCTTGCCCTGGAATGACGGAAGATGGGGAGAGGGCCTGGTTCTGCTCCTGATCAGCTTTGAGGAACACTGGGGATAAGTAGCAGTCATCTTTGAGTTGCCTTGGTGATTCATGGACTCAGGGGAGTGAGGGTGACACATGAGAGGTATAGGAGGGCAGTGCAGACCACCAAAAAGCTCTCTGACTTAACTTGGAAGTAGATCCATCCACCCAGAACACAACCAGCACATTGTCATCTGAATGTCACAGATGGAAAAATGCTATCTTCTTCCCACCACCTAAAATCTCCAAGATGTCATTCATGGATCAAGCCAATGACTACTTTATTAAGACAATATTTACAATGGCTGAATCTGAGGACAAATACACCAATAAATGAAAGGACAAAAAAAAATTTTAAACTATAAATACATGATCATCATTTATAAAATCAGTGACACCTCACGTATCTTGCACTTTATGGCAAGACATACATATTATCATTTGGAATAAATGAAGGTGTTTTTTTTTTTTTAACTACGTAAAATACTTTTCTACCTCCTTGAAATTTGCTTTTAAAGTGTTCCTTGTTTCTAGTACACTGCTCATCTATCAGGCTGTCAAATCTCCTTAGTTCTGCAAGTGACACACTCTTAGCCCCTTGTTCAGCTGCTTCCTTTAGTCCACTGTGGACTTAGAGACCTGGTAGACTTATTTGTTAGACTCATTTGTATATTAAGAACAAATAGAATAGTAATGAATGGTGCTAGGATGCTAATCTGTGAGTGAAACGTGTGGGCTTTGGAAAACAGCCTTTGTTCTGATTTTGCATTTGGGGTTGGGGTTGGTAGGGATGCCACACATAATGACATATCATAGTAGCTGAAAAAATTAGATATGCCAACCATCCACTGACAAACCCTATAATTTAGCAGGGATTTGTCATTCTTCTTTGAAGGAGGTACACTGATTTAAAATGGATCCAATAGTCCCTAGGTCAAGAAAATAGACTGATGCCTGTCACAAGCAAGAAGGCCTTTGAGAACTCAGTATGTTAAATCCACAGTGGCCCCAAATCTGATCATCTGAAGAGATTGTCAGCAGAAGTCAAGAGTGGCCCCAGGTGCCACAGCCAGCACTTCCCACCTGGATCCAGTCAATTCTCTTATTTTCTATGTTCATGAAAGCCTGCTATGTCCCTAACTCCACCCCAAAGAGTAGAAACTTAGCCTATACCTCTACCAATTTCTAGATATCTAAGGATACGGCATTCCTTCTTCAAACCTTGAAACCTAGAGTGTTATCTCAAGTGTGATGATACCTGGTGTATGTAAGGTCATTTAAGTGGGACAGCCATGAAGTGTCCCATAGAGACTAAGCCCACCAGGCCCACAGTTGTATTGCTCAGGTCATGTCAGGTAACATCTCTGATGGTGGCAAGGTTATGGTCACAGGGAAGGACAGCTGGACTTAACAAATCCAATGCAATCTTTGCCACCTTCCTTTCCTTTCTGCATGTTGACCATCCAAAGGGGAGAGCTGCAGGAGAGAAATCTTCCCAGCTGAGAAGGTGACGGCTGGTGCACAGTCCTGAAGAACAGTAACTGGGGTGAGTGAGGGTTAGTCTCAGCCAAAGGTACCGGTGGACCATATGCAGAGTCTGTAGTGAGGGCAGACAAGGTTCCAGACTTCTCAGGAATACAGGGTCATCATCAGCCACTGGATACGAAGGGAAAGCAAGTCATGATCAGTTCACCCCATCTGACTTGAAGCCCCTTTCCCTGACTCCTGGGGAGTCATGGAGATGGGACATTAATGGATGGTTTAGCCCGAGGGACCACACCACCTGGTAGTAAGTATAAATCAACCTGAAATATAATCAACCTTGACTTCTCGCGGTGCCTGTGAATGATGACTGTCAAGATCCAGGCTGATTTTGTATTCAATTCTCAATGAATTTTTCCCCCTTGACAACTGTGGCATGCTCACACATTGCAGGTGTACAAGCCAATGGGGTAGCAGACATCATTAAAGCATTTTCTATGTGTTTACAATTATGGTCCCTCTGATCTCTCATTGAGGGGATGTCTGGAGAAACAGAGCAATGCATCAAAATGACACTGCTGCTGATGAAGGTGATATTAATGAAAGGACCAGTGGTGTCAGAGAAAGCTTCATGGGGCAATGAAGCTGCACCCCACACGCACATCAATTACTGGAGTGATTATAAGGACACGTATGCTTAGGACCTCTCTATATCTTCGAATATAGGATATAAAGTAGACATTTGAGATCAAGGAAGAAATCTCAGCTTTTACTGGGGCCTTTCTAAGCAGCTCATATGGAAAAAGTGTTAGAGAATAAAAAGAACAGGCAACTCAACTCCAGACCCCAACATCCTTGCAGTGAACACTCGCTAGGACCAGCTCACAGCAGGTCCTTGATAAAGCAGAGCATTTTGAAGGATCAGAGGAGATAATTGGTGTCATGCATTTGTTCGTCTTCTCCTAAACATGTCCCCTTCTTCATCCAACAAACATTTGTCAAGCACCTACTATGTGTGAAGCACTAAATGAGATTCAGAAAAAGGTCACAAGGACAGTGAATGCAGTGCCTGAACTTGGGGTAGAGCAGTTCCAGCTCTTCAGTGAGATTTATTTCTGGCCTTCAAGTTTTTCCCGATCTGACCCTGACCTTGAGACTCACCTTGAGCCAGTTCCTCTCACTCTCTTCTCTACCCAGAATTCCACACACTGATCCATTCAGCCAACGCCTCCCTTGCCAGAATACTCCCTGGCTGGCTCTTTCTTGTTCTTGAGGTTTCAGCTTCAATGCCACCTCCTCCAGAGAGGCCTCATGGAGTGCTCTATGGAGACTAGATCTCTCATTACTGACTGTGCTGGAGTTCACTGCTAGACTCAGTTCCTCACCCATCTCTGGGTTCGTGGTCTGCTATCTGCCATGTGGCATGAAAGAGGAGGAGGCTATTTGCCGGTCTGTTGAAATGGACTTGGCCATGTGACTTGCTTTGATTGACAGAAGGAGCTGCAAGGAGTGGTGTGTCAGATCAGACCTTGGTCTTGGAGCCTTGCGTGTTAAGCTCTCTTTCTTGTACTTCTGTCTTTGTCCTCAGAAGGCCAAGCCTGGTCAGAGTTTCCTCAATTGAGGTGTCCCAGCAAAGCTCCTAGCCAGCCCGCAGAAGTATGGACAAGCCAGCTGAGACCTTCTGGCTCCCAGTCATGTGGCTTGGGAGCTAAATAAATGATTGTCACACATTGTTGAAAATTTATGGGGTTATCACATGGCATTGTTGTGATCAGAGCTAGTCACTCCCCGGTCCCTTCAGACATACCAGATATTAAGTGGGTACTTTGTAAAGATTTCATAAGTGAATAAATAAGTCCATAAATGCAGTGCCCAATCCCAACACAATAGAATGAAGGGCCCCCAGAACCCTTCTACTTCATAAGAGCCTGGGCCTGCAAGGGCCACCTTTACCTAACCAAAGACTGCTGGCTTCTTGGGGGAAGTCTTACCTCGGGCTTCTGGAGGTATATCCCTTTGCCATCTTGGGTTAAGTTTTGGAAGACATCTGTGAAAAATACAGCAGAAAGGAACACAGCTACTTTGTGTGTGTGTGTGTGTCGGAAACATAAACTAGTTCCTTCCATACCTCCCCATACCTTAACCACATCCATGCTGAAAATGTAATGGAAACCAATTTCCACCTACATGTACCCACACATGGCCACACTTCTTATAAAAGAAATACCTCAACCCTTTGCCTCTGGAGCAAGGCAGGGTGTGAATTAGTTTAGACTGGCACATGACCCACAGTCCCAGGGCTCCCCAGCCTCTTGTTTCTGGGCTGGCACTATGCTCTCTTGAGCTTGAACTAGGGACAGGTGGGCAACCATGGACATGAAGAGAAAGCCCCTGGTCCCCCACTCACTTACTCTCCATGTTCACTGCACGCAGCATCAAGTGGACAAAGCTGACAAAATCAATCTGAAGTCTGGGGCCACCGTAGCGGAGGAGCATCAGCTGGCAGACGTCGTCCCCGAGCACGATTCCTGCATTAAGCACAGGCTCCCGTGCTGAGTGCTGGGGCTCTGGGACCCTGTCCCCATCCATCCCTTCACTTAAGGGACTTGAATCCTGAGAGCATGGAGATCTTTTTTAATGTCATTCATTTCAAATCTTCTAATTATTTAATCAATTAATTTCATCTCCATTCCCCATGCCTGCCCCTTTAGGCCACAAGCATGGAAATCTTTTTATCAAGTGGTCATTGGCCTCCAAGGCAGGAGGCAGACTGCTTAGTACTCAGACTTAGCATTCAGTGCTTGACTTGGTAATCCTGGGGCCCAGGATTCCTGCATTAAAACCCCAAGCAAGTTCTTTAACTTCTCTGATCTTTAATTTCTTCCTCTGTAGGGTGGATTGAACAGGGTGTTGTTGACGATTAAATGAGAGACCAGATGTGCCAATCCTTGATAAATCTTGGCTACGATCATAACAATCAGAATAATCAATGTTTTTGATACTTGCAGATCCACACCTGTGAGCCTCTGCATTTGGGGAGCCACTTCAGAATGTCATGGGACCCCTCCTCCCTGCCTGGGGAGTGGGCACCTGTTCCGGCACCAGCTCCTCCGTTCCTCTGCTTACCTGCCTCCATCACGGCAGCCTGCAGCTGCACCCAGTCCAGGAGTCCTGACCTGCTACTGTCTTGCTTGTGGAAAACTTCCTGCAAAGAACCAAAACCGAAGGCTAAGGAAGGCAGGCATGCCCAAGCACCATCTGAGCCCCTACGTGTGCCAGTGTCAGAGCTGCAGGGGGACTGCTAGGCTCCTATCATCTCACATTATTTACAGGTTCTGAAAAAGACCAAGGTCTTCTCATGGGGTATGGACAGTCTGGGTGTGGGCCAATGTGCTTGATTTAAGTATATTTTTCATACTTTGAAGTGGTTCTAACTTCATGACTCAAAAAAAAAGTGAGAGAGTTTTAAGTAATGACTGAAAGAATAGGGAGAAGCCAATTTCAGAAGCACACCTTGCTGAGGATGTTGGACTTACTCTGAAAGCAAACGGGGGTCTTTAAAAGCTTTTTGCAAAGAAGCAACCTGATTAGATGTGTGTCTTAGAAATCAGGAGACTGCTGCAGCAGGCTGTCTGAGTTTGGGAGAGAGGAAGAGCAAGCACTCACTGCAGGAAGAGCAGAGAAGATGTGGCAAGTGTTCAGGTATAAAGGAGAGAGAAATATCTTACGTAGTGTTGAAGAATTGCCATTTTGTACCATTCCCCAGAGGAGTATGGCTGGGGCTTGTCCTTACCTGGTACAGCATCAGCTGCTTCCACAGGCTCCTGAACTCCTGGATGCTCACAGTCCCTGATGCATTAAGCTGACAACAGGTCAAGGTGAACTCTGGCAGGACAGCACTGCATCCTTGGCTCTGGAAACACTAATGGGCCCTCTACAAGCAGTATACAATTTGTGGATGGCCCCGTTCAAGGTCCGATGTCCCTACCTGGCCTCCGTTTACTGGCCAGTCCAGCCTAGCTTTCCCTTGCCCTTACTAGGAAAGGACAGAATGAGCCATGGCACAGTGGCTTTGGAAGAAGTGATGATGTCGAAAGTGATGACAACAGCCATCATTTAGTGAAGCAGGATATTTTATCATGGCCAATTGGATGTGATTTAAATAAAATCCAGTAACTTTTTCTCGTTAGAGTTAAAATCAATGTACGGAAGAACTTAGGCACAAGATGGCTAAAGCTGCTTCTTTTACTTACTCGTTTTTTGAAAAGTTAAAAGCAAAATGGGTGACCTTGTAGACAATGTCAAAATACCCAGGCATCAGAGAGACTGGGTCAAAACACCACCATACACCTTCTCTGGGCCCTCCCATGGCTAGCACTGAGTTGCATGCTTTCCCTGTGTTATGCACTTTATGCCTTGTGGCATTAGTTCCCCCATGGTCTAGAAGATGAAATGAGCTCCCCTTTCCCCCCTGAGCTGGGGACAAGGATGGAACCTGTCCCGCTGCCTGTACCATCCTGCACCACCTCTGAGTGTCTGCAAAGACAGTTGTTTTCACAAAATTCCTCAGACGATCCGTTCTCTGCCTCTCAGCAGTATAGATGATCAAACTTTGATTTAACTGTCCACTTGGAAAGTCAGAATGTTTGCTAGGAAAATCACAGGGCTCAGAACGAGGAAAGCCGAGATCCTGCATGTCTTTGACTTCCCTGCACTCTGGTTTCCTGATATGTAAATGGGGCAGCCATTGCCCATCACCAGAGGAAAGACTCAGAGCCCTGTGGCTCTTGCCTTCTCTTATGAATGCTGGAGAATGACTACTAGGCAGCACTCTGCAGCTGCCTCATCCTTACTCTCAGGAAATAAGATATGTTTGGGGGGTTTTGTTGGTACTAGGAATTGAACCCAAGACCTTGCATTTGCTAGGCAAGTAGTCTACCGTTGAGCTATACCCCCGGCCTATTTTATTTTACTTTTTAAAAAATTTCATTTGCTAAGTTGTCCAGGCTGGTCTTGAACTTGTGATCCTCCTGCCTCAGCCTCCTGAGGGTTAGGATCACGGGCATGCGCCACTGCACCCAGCAGGTTATTGTTATTGATAGTTAATAGATGGCAGTTCTGACCTCAGCACGTTACCTGAGTTATCTATTTGTATTTTTACACCAACCCTACAGAGTAGGTTTTAATACCCTCTTAACTGTATCAGATGTGTACCTGATGTGCAGGCATGATGAGACTCAGTGATTGTCCAAGATCAAACAACTAGCAAGGGCCTGGGTGGGGATACAAACCTGGACAGGATGAGCAAAGATCTCGACCAGCAGCACACACCCACCCACAAACCTGAAAAGATACGTCCAGGAGGGCCAGGATCCCCTGGCAGGCATCAAAGCTGAAGAAGGGCTGTTTGCTCCCCAGACCTGCAGGAAGCAAAGGAGTTTGTATAGGGGAGGGCTGGCCTAGGACTGCAGCCCTTTTTCTGAACAGAAGGAGGCAGTACTGCCCAGGGCAGCCAGAGATTCTGTTGACACCATGTATGTAGGGTGGAAAAGAGTAAGGAGAGAGCAGCGGAGAGACTGGGGACCTGGCTGGGCTTTTTTTTTACATTGTGGGAGAAATGAACATATGCTCTGCATCTAGGGAGGGCCAGGATCATAGCCACAGACTCCCAGACCTGAAGGAGAACTGAGAAGCCTGCTGGTTCAAGTTCCCACCCAAACTGGGGGATTTTCTCCTCAGGTTTCACGATGGCTGCTCCGTCAAGGATGAGTGCTCACCTTTCCACATAGACAGAGCTTCCAGAGAAACTTTTTGAATTTTTTTGAGTCCAAAGGATCCTCCTGTAATATTCACTCACTGGCCAAGTTCTGTCTCCAGAAAAGCATAAAATGATGTTTGTCTCCTCTGTGACTTCTCCCATCCCTCTACACACGATCATATCCCCAACTATTGTTCAAATGGAATGGTTTCTAAACCCTTGTCATCCCTTTCTCGAGCCTAGGCTTTGCCAGTGTTCGTCTAAAATATGACACCAAGACTTGAACACATTCCTCTGATGCAATTTGATTACAGTGGGCCTATCGTTTCCAAAGTTCTCAGTCAGCATTTCCCAAATTATTTTCCAAGGGAGATGTTCTGCAGAGAGTTTTGTGATCATATATATAATTTGTGTCTATAGCCCCTTTCCTTCTTTCACCAAGCACCTTGGCCAATATTGAAATTATGTGTTTATTGTCCTTAAAGAAAAGGGAGATAGTAAAACACCATGTTCCTGAATGCCCCCTTTCTGTTCCCCAAAACCTAGCCAAGTTAAGGGAACAGTGAGGGAGACCCTGGGCTGGTACATCCAGATCCATGTTATCTTGAAGGACATTGGTTTTCTCTTATACACACTGGGAACTAGGGCAAGTTAGTGTTATCTGTAGAAAGCTACTTTCTTGCATGTACGCCAGGATAATTGCTCTTTGGGATGTTGATCATGTAAGCAAACTAAGAAAACTAATGCTGATGGTATCAGTGCTTCCGCAGTCTAACAAAACCCCTCTCTCAGTGGCAACTGGGGGGCGAACTGGGGGCACTATGGAGCAGATACCTGTCACTCACACAGGTGCTGCCACTGGAAAAAGCATCATGAGGGACAGAGGCACTGTTTTCTGGACACCTGTATCATGAGGGATGGAGGCACTGTGCTTGGCAAGGCACCTAGAGGGACAGAGATGCTACCTGTTCAGGCTGTCACCACCAAACTCCTCTTGGAGCAGTCACTGATCTCTTGTAAACATTCCCCAATAAATCATAAATCTCTCATGTCACATGCAGGCACTTTCTTGGGCCTTGAAGCAGCCTACCCTACTGGTCTGACACACCTGAGCTGTGGACATGATAGTGTGACACAGAATTTCCCAAGTGTCACTGACCACAGAAATGAACTCCTTTCACTTCCTAGAATATTTACTAAAACCACTTAGTTTCTAACGTTACTTGGAGAACAATTTCATAAACACAGATCTAAATTCTTCCATTAAATGGAGCTGAATTGGCATTAGCTTATTTAGCAGCAAGTTGAGATTATTAGTTCATAAGTTGGAGGTCAACTAAATTAACCAAATATCTCTCGCAAACTGTCACCCACACAAAAGAAAAACAAAGAGGTCTTTAGAAAGTTAGGAACCTGTGCAACTAATTTAAAAAAAAAAAATTAAAATGGCAGTGTTTTATTAAAATGGCATCCTAATTACATTTCATCTTTTTTGCTTTGGGCCCAGTGTATTGAGAAAGTTCTGGATTTTTATTCTCCTGTCTATTATTTAGGTGATTCTTCCCAGCTTGGCACCATCTGCAGATGCACTGACCCTACATCCTATGTCTTCCTCTAAGCCATTGGTTAAAGTTAGGGAAATAAAAGGATTCTCCTTTAGACATCTAAAATATACATAGATTTTCACCAATAATAAAGAATTATTTCTCTTGTTGTAAATTTGCATAGCTGTGGGGATGGTGTTAAGACTTCTGAATAGGTCTAGCATTACTATTTTCCAACTCACATTGTGGGAGATTTTACCAAATATTTTGTCAAAACCTATAGTAGTTCTCTGACAGAAAGTTCCAGAAATTCTCTCATAAGACTAAACAAAAGCAATTTGTTCACACATTTTTAGGAAAAGTGTTTTGCCTACTTGCAATCAAGACACTTAAAAATGGCACGAGCCATTTCTTTTAGTTAATTTTTCTAGAATCAGCATAGAATTTTTTCAGGGGTCTCTGGTGTTCTAGAACATCTAAAGTCTTCCTTTCTGGACCTTTCACTGATAAGTAAATTAGACTTTGAGAAAACATTGGAAACTATTTCAAACCTTGAGACATACCCTGGACTGAAATTTGTATAGGTTCAGAATCTTGGCTTCATATAAAGAGGCAATCAAATATCTTAGATAGAAAATACTCATTAATCATTTGTTTTATCTTTCTTACTCTGAAGTTCAATTGCCTCCCTGCAGAAATCAGTGTATTTCCTCCATGGTCTTCTTGTTCCAAATATGTATATGCAATGTTTTTGTATGGACTTTAAGCTTTCCTAATAATTTATCTTAGACATCATATGAAAGCTCCCCTCTGCAATCCTCCTAGATGATATGCTGTATTATTCCAGATTTTTGTAGCTTGCTTAATTTAAATATGAGTTTATCAGAGAGTTCCCTGGTAGTCTAGTCAATAATTAATATTTATAACCCAGGTTGAAGAAATGGAATTGATATGCCAAGAAAGGAGTTCTTCTTTTCAAACTAGCAAAATGGGGAAAGGTCTTCATTTTCATAGCCATATACCTCTACACACCCAAACTAAGCAAAAAATAAGTACTTCAAAGCTCTACTGCTTTGCCAGACCACAAAACCCATCTTGGTGTCAAACATGGTTGCCAGGTGAGACCGGCTTTCACTGATTCACACATGCCACCAAGCCAAGAGAAACAGAGATGGAATATCAAAAATGTGTGTCCCCTTGTGAGTCCTACTGGATGACTCTAAGATACTTACTTGACCAGGTCATTCGGTTCAGGATCTTCTGCAGTTGAATAGCATTTATTTCTGGATACTGAATGGAAAGCAGAATGGAGAGAGAAAACCATTGTTCCTGAACACTCATTAGCAGAGGGGTCACAAGCTATTGGGGCTGGGAACATCCTGTCCTGCATAGGTTCAACATGGTATATGTACCATTTCTGAGCAGAAATAAGTGACACCATTATATCGTACACAAGGATTGTGGCCAGACATGTAATTAAATCTTAGGTTTTATAAAAACTTTACAATGCTCTTTGACTGGTTGCCAAGTCCAGAGCACACCAGCAGGGCAGAACCCTTAAGAAGCAGGTTTATAGGGAGCAGTGATTCTCTGTGGAAGTATTTTAGAATGTCAGCAATTTGCTTTGAATTTTGTTCTTCACAAAAGCTCATCAGCCAAAATTCTAGATTTAAATTTTAGAGTTGTTATTAAAATTTGACTTTATAAAATATCAGTGAAATGTAAGTATCATACACTTGAATTCATAAAATTTATGCATAGTCATAATGTACAATGTTTACTCTGTGTGTATGTGTGTGTGTGTGTGTGTGTTATATGTTTGGATTCACTATTAGATTTCATTTGATTAAAGCACTGCAGCACAAAATGTTTAGAAACCCTGGCTATGGAGGAAAACCTTTATAAACACTACATACAAGATTCCAATTAATCCTCTTTGCTTTGCCCGTGACTAATTGATCTAGCTTCCAAGAATAGATAATCATCTTAACTACTTCTAGAGACAATGCCTCTTCACACTCATCTAAAATGTGAAGACTTTAGTAGAAAGTAGCAGGCGAGGGATGTTATGGTTTAGATATGAGGTGTTCCCCAAAAGCTCATGTGTGCAACATACAAGAAGATTCAGAGGTGAAATGATTGGGTTATGACAGCCTTGGTCTAATCATTGCATTATTCCATTGATCTGAATTAACTGGGCAATAACTGTAGGCAGGTGGGGAGTGATCAGAGGAGGTGGGTCACTGCCTTTGGGGTTTATATTTGCTCCTGGTGAGTGCAGCGCTCTCTCTCTCTCTCTCTCTCTCTCTCTCTCTCTCTCTCTCTCTCTCTCTCCCTCCTTCCTTTTGCCATGTCCTGAGCTGCTTTCCTCTACCTCACTCATCTGCCATATTGTTCTGCCTCACCCCCAGGCTCAGAACAATAGAGTCAGCCATCTATGGACATAAACTTCTGACACCATGAGCTCCAAATAAACTTTTCCTCCCTTAAGTTGTTCTTGCCAGGTATTTTGGTCATGGTGAGACAAAAGCTGACTACAACAGGGAAAGAGGAAGCCTTAAATCACATTTTACATATAGCATCAAACAAATACAAGCCCACATTTCATAAAATTTTATGCTCTACTTTATCCCCGCCCCCTCCTTCCACCCCTGCCCAACACCACCAGTCAACTAACCTTGGCAAAGAATTTGGTGAAGAATTCATTCTGCTCTTCATTTTGTTCTACTATTTCCTGTAGGAACAACAAAAAAAAAAGAGCTGTATAAATAGACTCTCCTGCAAACATTATTGCCTCAGGGCTCCCAGGCCTCTGAAATTGACCTTGCATTGTCTTAAATTTTGCAACACAGCATTCACAAACATCTCTATTGCTCTGGTTCTCCCTGATGCTGGGGAAGTAACAAATAGCAAAATGAGCCAAGGAAACACCAGGGAGAGAGAAGCAGAAGCAGAGCAAGTATAGGTATCTCCCATGCCCCTGGAGCACTGGGCCCTGGATGATGAGAACCCAACCAGAAGGACAATTATCTAATAATTTCTTGGTGCAAAAACAGCTGACATGGGCACTTTGAGAGCACAACAGATGACATATACCTTTGCCATAGAGCAGGGAAGCAGGGTACACAGATATTTGCTGACCCTTTACCAGGACGAGAGGTGCCCACCACCCTGACACTGAAATAGGCCCCGTCGTGTGGACTTCCAACCAGACCTCTCACCTTAGAGTAGACCACCCTGGAATTGTTGCCAAGTTCACTGAGGAAAGAAAAAGACAGAGAGTTTCCTCTGGGGGATCATCTTGGGAACCTCTGAACCAATATTGGCCCTCCTGGGGGAGCTCATCTTTCAAGTTCTGTAGCTGAAGTGCCATGCAGTCCTACCGGGCTCACATCTCTCACCTCCCACATTCCCTTGAAGTGTCCAGTCTGGCCATAGGGCATAGTTCACCTCTCCTAACTCTCCTAACCTCCTCTACCAACCCCTACTTATAGTTCAAAACTCAGTGGTCTGGTCTGGCAGTGAGCCTAAGGTCAACTCAAACTATTATGGCCACGACATAAAAAACAAAACAAAACAAAGCACCTGGTATTGAAAGACTATCACATTAAATCAATCACAGGCAAAATATTAAGTTTGGTTGGGATGAATCTGTGTAGATTCAACTGCATACTAGTGGCGGCTGAGCCAGCTAATGAATGACAACCACCCTTCATCTGAACAAGCCCTGTGCCTCTCTCAGGAGTCATCCCTCCCTGAAGCCATCCCTGCTCCCCCAGGACTGTGGAGTTCAGCTCACATACCTTTCTCTGATACTCCCCTAGCCTCTGGGCATAGAAATGTTTATACTTAATATATTGCAATATCCATGACGGGCTATATGTCTGGGTCCTTACCAGATCTTCAACTTCACAAGGGCATGGGCTATGTCTGCTCTATCTTTTTATCTCTGACATTAAAGCATGGTTCTCATCCCGTTCTCTTCCATGGTTGGTGGAAGGAGAGTGGAAGGGGATGGCCTCTAAATAGAGAGCCACCGTGGTACCCAGCTTTCCTTCTCTCTCTCTCATCCTAGCAGCAGAGACTCCCCATTCACCATCTCCAGCCTTGTCCTCTTTGCCTGAAATGGCCCTACCAGGCCCTCGCAGGCCCCAACCTGAGTCCTTACTACAAGATGTGCTTCCTGGAGAAGAGTCTGAGGAGAAACTCCGACTCCTGGTGGGCCTCAGATGCACAGGGCACGATGAGGTACGTGCCTGGTTCCAGCCACAGCTCCTGATTCACTTCCTTTTCTTTAAGGAATACCTCAGGCCAGCTCAGGGGAGCATTTGCCCAGACGAACTCAGCGGGCAGTTTCCTCTTGTCATTATAGTGCTGTGGGTGGGGAACAGAATGACACCAGTGGAGGTGATCACCCAGGGCTGGTGACCAGGCCTGGGGCCCTCTTTCAGGAGCCAGGACTGAGGTGGCCTTTGATCAGGCAAATCCCGTTACCCCAGAGGAGGATGAGGCTGAAGGGTGAGGAGGATAAGAACTAGAACGTTCTGGGGGCACCTTTGCTGGAACTCCAGCAGGGGCTGACGTGAGTTGATTTGTCCCCCTGCCTGCAGGCTCCATTTCACCATCCAGGAGTTCAGGCTCAGTCAAGGTAAGTCATCTGTCCTGGAGAGTCCCATTCAGGACAGCTGAGTTCCAATGTTCTTTGTACACTCTATGTTGCCTCCATGTATGTGACACAATCTCAGGGTGACCGAGATTGTGACTAGTGGTCACAGGTGCAGCTGGACCATCACCATCCCTCCACCTGCAGCACAGCAGCTACGTACAGATAGCTGGACATGGCAGGGTCACCCCAGCCGAAACAGCCTCAGAAGAGGAGAACCGCATGGGAACTCTGACCTGAAGCAGCTCTCTGGATCTCACATTGCCTGGGCATGCGCTTTGTTATCTGCTTTTCTTTCTTCTTTCCCTACCTCTCTTTATTTTTAGTTTTTACTTCCTCTCCCCTTTGTCCTCACTCAAGGCTATGGAGAAAGAAGAGGTCCAGGATCATGCCTTGGGTTTACATATAACTGCCAACAAAGACATCACCCATCCAACACAGACCCGTTCAGCAGATTTCACCTGGGGCTGGGGAAACAAAATACATCACTTTATGATACATGTTTTCTTTTTCAGATAATGAGAACCAGAGAACCATCCAGTTGCCCTCTTTGCTTTATCTGCTAGGAATCTCAGAGCTTAATTTTATAATCCGCCCTCATCGCTGTTCTGGGTTTAGTTTTTCTTGTATGATGGACTGCCTTCCCTCATTCCCTTATGACTTTTTTCTTGCCTTTTTACTTTTATAACTGGTTTGCAGTTTTCATTTGTTTACACTTTTTATTGTAAATTGACCCAAATTCTATTTAGACTGTAAGTTTAATATAAATAGGCAACTTTTTAAGTTTAATAGGCAACTTTGGGAGTACTCAGTGTTCCGGCGGGAGGGAAAAACAAACAGAAAACCAAAAACATGACCCAATGCAAAATGGATTCTTCATAAAAGTCCTTTTGCTTGATTCAGTCCAACAGGAGAAAATGAGGGCTTCACTCTTGTTTTCTTGGAAAACAAAACAATAGCTGCCACCCTCCCCTGCTGGAGTCCCTCAGGCTTCTTCTCTGATGACTCCACAATGCCTCCAGGTGATTCTTGTCCCCCTGTCCATTTCCCCAAGTTGCTTCTGCTGCTGTTGTTGTTATTATTATTATTATTATTATTATGTACCAGGGATTGAACCCAGGGGCACTCAACCACTGAGCCACATCCCCAGCCCTTTTTTGTATCTTATTTAGAGACAGAGTCTCACTGAGTTGCTTAGCACCTCACTAAGTTTCTGAGGCTGGCTTTGAACTCACCATCCTCCTGTTTCAGCCTCCCAAGCTGCTGGGATTAGAGGCATGCGCCACCATACCCAGCTCCCCAAGCTTTTATCCCTTGTCCCTGAGTAGGTGGGCTGTGTGGTCTCTTGATGTCCCGTATGTTTTAGGTCTATTTTATTATGAGCTTTATGACTCAGGCAAGATTGTCATTTATCATCCTTCCTAGGCTGTGACAGCCTTCAATATTAGCACTAGGTATTTATGCAGAGATTTAATGAATTCTGAAATTTATTGGTTCTATGCTGGGCTGAGATCTCCTTATAGAAGTGTAAGGATTTCTCAGGATCCTCAGACAAAAAAAGAATAGCAGATGCTCTTTACTTACACACACATGCACACACACACACACACACACAGAGTTGGCGTTATCCAGACATTCTCACAGCTTCTTGTATAGGATGCTACAGTCAAAACCAATCTCAAAGTGGCTTAGTCACAAAAAAATGGCATCAGTCCAAACTAGGGCTTCTGGTCAAGGTCAAGTGTGGACCTCACCTTGCTCACCTGGAAAACAAAGAAAGATTTGGTTAGGCAGTGAAGGACCCCAAACCCTGATGAAATCCGACACAGAAGACACCCTCAGGGGTCCCTTCCCTTCCTTGGGCACTTCGATCCCTGGTGGGAACTTGGGGGAAAGCCTTGGGGAAGGAACCCCAGGCTGCTTGGGAGAGGAAAGGAGCCAACATTATCTGCACCATCTATGAGCCAGGCACTGTGAAAAGTGCTACCACCCGGTCTTCTTTTATGCAACCTTTGCATTAACTTCGTGGCCCCTATTTGGCAGGTGGAGAAACTGATGTTCAAGTGCAAGGAGGTGGCTTGTTCTAGATTACATATTACTAAGTAAAGCACCAAGACTTAAACCCAGTCCCAAGGACAGGGACAAATAGCTAAAAGGACAAGGACCAGGAAAAAGTGGTAGCTGTTGGAGACCCCACGCTGGACCTCACACTCTAGGCCCCAGAGGCCACCTACTCTGAACACGTAGAAGCCAATGGCCAGGCGAGACTTCGGGTTGCGGCACCTGTGCCTGGGCTTCTGCAGCAGGGACACTAGCAGGCTGCAGGTTCTCAGGGATTGCCTCCCCTCCTCAGGCCTCCAGATAGACAGCAGGAACTGTGGATTTTTCCAAAACGTATCTGGGCAAAACACAGCAAGGTGAGAACAGGACTCTGGTTCTGCTGGCGTCTGCCTTCCCAAACCACTGAGAGGTGCACAGTCTGAGGACACCTTCACCAGGCTTCACATCTGAGGTCCATCTGGACAGAGTGGAGACCCTTCATCCTCAGCTCTACGTCCCATTTACCCCCTGCTCCTCTACCTCAGGTTCTCCTACACATACCTGCCCAGAGTTGTTCCTATGCTGTTGCCGCTTTGCCCGGCAAAGCCTGACCCAGATATCATGCCCCATGAACAACTGCTGCTTAAATAAGTGACTGTGTTAACTTGCTGAGAAGAGCATGCCCAAGATCCCAGGAGCCTTCATGCTTTAGCAAGGGTGAAGCCTTAGCATAAGGGCAGATTTAGTCATTGGGAATATGGTGGTGGGAAGGGAACATCAGAGCTAAAGGTACCCTGCCCCTCTGAGATCAGACGCAGAGGTCTTTTCTTCAAAAAGGAGGCTCGCCACTTCCATCATAGAAGAAGAGACATGGTCACCAACCTCCCATCTCAAGAATTTAGGCACATTTTTCTCCTCTAACTGAAGAGTCCAGGAGTCCTGGTTGTGTGTTGCCTACCAGACTCTAGTGGGGAGATACCTGGCTGTGATTACTGTACCAGTCCTGCCCTTCCTGGAGCGGTTACTTTGATGCATCAGTGCTCTTATCCCAAAACGGAAGAAAGATTTCACCCACTCAGTGACCACGCCTGTGTGCCTGTGTCCCCTTGGTGTGGATTAGAGGGGGCACCGCTTGGGAAAGATGCAGACCCATAGCTGAGAGCTTGACAGAGAGGACTGTACATCTGTGCAAACTGGGACCAAAGGTGCCCCCTCTTCCCTGCGGACATAGCCCAGGACTAGAGTGGGCAGCTGACAAGCACAGCCCCCTCCTCCTCAGCCACATGTGCAGGGCTCAGTCTACGGGACCATCTGCACGGGCTGCCCCACCCGCCATCCCCAATCCAAGAGCCCAATGTGTGCCCACCTTGCCACGAGGACTTCATCCGGCCTCCAGCTGTGCTCCCTTTCTCCCATCTCCCTTCCTGCATGGTGTACATCCACTTTTGTCCCACCTCGAAGCTCAACAGGCCTGGGGTCAGTTTGCAGATGACCAGAAGCACAAAATGTGCTTTAAAGTCCTGCAGGGACATCCTGGAGAAGAAGAGGAAACAGCACAGACAAGTGAGATGATGCCCTGTCCTAAGGACACACATCAGGAATGGGGCCTTGGTCTGGGCACCCCACCCTCTCTCAGACCAAGGCCCTGTGTGGGAGACCAACCTCCCACGTGCCTGAGTACACTCCCTGGCTGGGTGCTGAGGCTCTCAGTTGCAGAAATGTGGCAGAGCTTTCCCCACCCTTCTTGGGTGCAAGGGTCGGTGTCTCGTGCATGGGTGTGTCTTGCTACAGCCCCATGGGTGAAGCTATGCTCACCTGTTCCTTTGTAATATAACCCCTGCCCTGTTTAGGATAGAATCTTCCATGGAAGTGCCTTGTGTGTGTCCCCTCCCCTTACTGTGCCCTTGGGTGTGGCCTACCCAGGTGTCAGTCAACCTGCTGACAGTGGACATCATGAAGATAGACTCAGCCCCCTGAAACCTGACCCCTTGCCTCATTTGAATAGCTTCTCCTCAATAAAAGGGGTGCTCTTGCTGTCTCTCTCGTTCTGTGGACCTTTAAGGTCAGAGGAGCCGTCACAGCAACCCCAAAGAAAAAGGTATTTGTGTCTCTTGTGTGGTTATTTTGTGCAGCCCAGTTAGCCCAGTTTAACTGGAGTGACCCCTGAGCCTTTTAGTCGCAAGAACAGAAACCCGGCAGCCCTGTCCTCCAAGCTCTGTGCAGAGCCCAGCTGGCCTTGGAGGCAGGAATGGGGTGAGCCTGATCCATGTGATGGTCCATCAGGGGAAGTGGAGCCCCAAGAAGCCCATGCCCTCTGGCTTTTAGCATTGTTAATATTGAAGATGATGGTCCCGCTTCTGTGTGAAAGTGACAAAAGCCAAACGGAGGTGTTCTCAGCTAGTCAATTGACTGATGGTGTTCAATAGGCACAGTGTAGGTGAGTGCCTGGTTATTAATCAAGATCTTCACCCTCACATGCTAACTGTGAGCTGAGTCCTGCTACATAGGCTCTCTGGGGCTCAGTTTGCTCATCCGCAGGGTAGAATGACAGGATTTACAGGGCTCTAGAGCTCAGCAAAAGACCTTCGGCAGTGAGGACCCCACAGCAGTGTGGACAGGTAAGGGGAGAACACCAGTCCACGGGACATGGGTGGGGTAAATAGAAAGGGTGGGAAACAAAGGTGGAGGGAGCAGAGGGGGCTCTGTGGGACTCTAGCAGCAGAAGGGCCCACTTGGGCTGTTTCGGGAGGTAGCTTTGGGGTGACGAGGCGTCGTGTGACTCTGCTCGGCAGGGTCCAGATCAGGGGGCCTGTCATTTGACGAGACTCTGTAGTGCATTCCATCTTCATCTCCTTTTCAGGACAGGAAAGATAAACCTTGTGTTGAGTGCATTGAGCAGAGAGCAAAATGGAGGCCAGAGAGGCCGCTGCCTCCCAGCCCTGCTTGAAGCACACGTTGGGCTCCATGTCAAAGATCCTTCCCTCAAAATGACATCTTCACCTGTTCCTAAAAAAGTTCAAGCTTTTTTTTTTTCTTTCAAAATGCAGGTGCAGAACCCTAGGACCTGCCCTAAAATGACCTTAGAACCAAAGTCTCCAAGGGGGCTTAATGGAATCTGAGGAAGGAGAGCAGTGCCTGCTGGGCCTAGAGCAGAAGGGAGGGGTGCCGTCAACAGTCACAGGACAGAGCAAAATTATCATCACCTTCCACCTGGACCTGCATACAAGACTCTGGCTGCAACCTGTCAACCCCATTTCCCTTAACCTTGGGATGCTTAAATTCCTCCCCTACTTGTGGATCAGGGAGATGAACTTGCTACCTGCCCCCTTGTCAGGTGGCCTCCAGTGAAAGGTCTTTTTATAAAAACTGGGAACCACAGAGTTGGCTTCTAGGTGTGCTGGGCAGTGAGCAATTGTTGAGTATTGTTCTGATCCCAGGGACTGTGACAGTGTATTTCCCTTTTGGCCCTGCTGGACTGGCAGCCCGTTAAGGGAGTGTGTCTTACTGACCTCTTTATATGAGATGCCTGGCATATATGAGGCACCCAGAAAATATTTGCTGAATGTAAGCCAGGGCATGTGTCCCAAATCCCCAAGTCAAATACCAGAATTCTCCATCATTATCTTTCCTCAGAAGCAGAAGCTTCTCCTTGGGGCTCAGCAGCTCCCATTTTCTTGAACTGAAAATAGAAAAAGATACATTTTCATGAGGAATGACAAGATTGTGAAGAACATGCCAGAAATTCTTTAGTAAATGCTCGGTGGTGTCATTATTTAGTATTATTTTCAGACTGTTTTGCAGACAACTAAATCTTACAGTCTGCATTATGAGATCAACATGTAACATTAATCAATCACTTACTCTAAGCCAAGCACCAGGCTAGGCTCTTGACATACTTTATTTCATTTAAGGCTAGCATCACTTAAGGCTAACAACAACTTTGACAGAGAGACATTGATCTCCATTTTGGAGATCAGGCAACTGAGATTAAGAGAGATCAAGTCACTTGCTTGAAGTCACAAAACTCTTCAATGTCACAGCTAGCATTTGAGTCTGGAATTGTTTATTTTCAAAGCCCATCATATTAAACTTCTACTCCTGGCTATGAAGGAGTAAAACTGTCCTATATTAGCCTCCTACCATAAGCAACCAAAAGTGGGACAAAATATAAGAAATGATTTTCAGACATTGGGCAGTGGTCAGCACAGGACTGTGATCCTGGGAGGAAGGAAGCCATGGGCTGAGCTCTCACATCACCTGGGCTTCTTCCTGAGGGAGTTTCCGGGACAGTGATACAGGAAGTAGAATACAAAAAGAACCTGTCAGTCCTGCTGAATGGAGAAGATAAAGTCTGGAGTTCCAGGAAACCAAGGCAGCTAAAATGTACTGGGCAAAGTGCCTGGAGGGAGTGGGGTGGGCAGAAGCTCCAGAAAACTTCACAGGGGTTCCCTTGAGCCTGTGCCTGAAATTTTATCTGTGCTTTCTTAAAATGAAACTGCATAAGACTGGTCTACAGACAGAACAATTCTCAGGTGACCCAGAGCCGGGAATCATGTGAACTTCCAACAGCTAGAGTTAAAAGACCCTTTTGAATACATAAAGTCTTTTACTAGAGATCCCAGAGGGTCTTCAAGTTAGTAGTGGAGTCAAATTATCACTGAAATAAAAGTTTCTCTTAACCTGCCCTACAAGTGCTTGAAAACTTCAAAGTATCCAAACCATCCCTAAACAATGTGACTACCTGGCAGAAAAATCCCAACTTTTTAAAAGAATACAATAGAATTCCACATTCAGAAACTAAAATTTACAATGTCTAGCACCCAATTAAAAAAAAATTTACTAGTCACATGAAGAAGCAGAAAAGTGATCCATGACCAGGAATAAAAACAGTCAGTAGAAACCAGTGTAGATAGAATTAACAGATAATTAAGATGGAAATAACAGGTAAGCATGTGAAGATAGCTTTTATAACCATACTCCGTATTCTCAAGGATGTAAAAGGAAATACAGACATAATGGGAGATGAAATGGGAGATTTGGAAAAGGAATTTCTAGAGCTGAAAAATATAGTATTTGAAATGGAAAATACACTGGATGGGATTAGCAGCAGATAAAACATTATGGAATAAAAGTCCCTATTTTTATTTAATCTTCACCACACCTCTAGTTCAGAAAAATTATGAAACTTGCCTTAGATGATATAGATAGAAAGTAACAAAAAGATAATTTGACTCATCGCCTATCTCTAATGTTAGTACTTGTCCTAGGAAGTGAACAATCACTACCAACACTATGATGATATATTTCTGTAGCACTTTAGAATTTAAGCATTTTGGGAGAGTGACATTTTTCCACATAGACTCAGTTCTTCTGTTACCTCTGCCAATTTATTCAAAGCAGCACATACTATTGGGGCAAAATTCAACCTGCTTTTCCAAGTCTTAATTTATTCATCTACAAAAATGGTCAAGTATAATGTAGATATGGACATGTTTGTGTACTCTGTAGTGTTACACAGGGTTAAAAATGGTAACTCTTCATAATGAGCAGAAGGACTCTCACACTTGGCCTCTCTTCCTATCTATTCCCTATACCCAGTCTGTTCCCTGTAAAACCCACATCTCCTTCAAGCTTCCTTAAGGCAAAAACAACCTAAATGTAGGCTTTCAGTCAGAATGCCCAGAGGTCACTAAGGTAACCAGACAGTAGCTATCAATTCAAATTTCTCTAACTTTGACTCAACAAGCACAAGAATGCATTGGACACTCCAGAGATAGAACACTAGACTAAGGTACCATAGACCTTCATTGAGTCATGCTATGTGACCGGAAGCAAATCTTCAACTAAGCATCTGTTTTTTCCATTAGTAAAGTGGAAATGCAGCTACAGACCTTATATAGCACTGTCTGGGGAAACTAAATAGGTAGTAAAAGATCAAAGGATTTAGCATAACTCTAGCAAGTCCTCAATAAACATTCACTTTAATTATTCTAATAAAACAGAAAGTGACTGAGGGGGCGGGGGCAGGATGGGGTTGTGGCTCAGTGGCAGAGCACCTGCATAGCATGTGTGAGGCACTGAGTTCAATCCTCAGTACCACATATACACAAATAAAAAATAAAGGTACATCAACAACTGAAAAATATTTTTAAAAAAGAAAAAGTGACCTATATACCATAAAGCATCTTTTAAATTGTGAGAGATGGAGCTTCACACTCTGAAAGCTTTCTAAATCCAGCCTAAGGCCAAAGGAAGCACACATCTGAATTTGTGTGCAAATGGAAGCCTCCTTTTTCACCTGTCTGATTCTTCCCATTCCCCAGCAGTCCAAACCTGTCACTCCAGTCTCCTTGCCATTCCACCTTCCCCCAGGGGTTCCGTAGTTTCACTAGATATTCGGGTCCATATTTGCAGGTCACCTACATAAAATGAGAAGCAGTTTAGTGGCTTGGCTAAGTGCCAAGTTTTTCAGATATCTGGGTGAGACTCAGACCTGCAGCTGAGAACTTGAAAAGGAAAATCAAAGACCTGAAGAGTTGGTACAGTAGAAAGTGGCCCTGCTACTTGCACTTGCTAGCTTGTGGGACCCAGAACAGATGATTTAACCTCCTGTTTCTCAGTTTCTGGATCTATAAAATGAAGCTAACAGTCACAGCTATGGTAGTGGCTTACATGGTGGATCCCCAAAGCATCTGACCACCTAGAACATGGGAATGTGATCCTGTTTGGAAGGATCTTGAGATGAGAGCATCCTGGATTAGGAAGTGGGTCCTAAATCCAAAGATTATCATTCTTGCAAGATAAGAGAAAGGGAGAAGACACCGAAGGAGAAGGTCACGTAAAAACAGAGGCAGAAATTAGATTAATGTAGCCCAACACCTAAAATAGTACTTAGCACACAGCAAGTGCTATATGAATTTGTTAAATAAATATGAAAATAAATGAAAGTTCATGGCTGTTGGAGATCAAGAAGTATGAAGTTACAAATGAGTTGAGTGCAAGAAATTTGAAACAGTCAAAGGAAAGTTTTGGGGGAGTCTGGCTCTCAAGAGAATGTCAGAGGATCTTAAAGATTTCTTATCTCCATGCTTTGCCCATGCAGTGTCCCTGCCCCACTAGAATGCCCTTCTCTTTCTTAGGGATCTACCCATCTTGTGGGAGCCAATCCATGCCAGCTCATCTGTGGAGCCTTTTCTGACTTCTCCCCAAGCCAACTGGTGAATGTCTTCTCTTCTACTTCTGAGCCCTCAAAGTCTTCCCTGTATGTTCTCCTCTCTCCATTTTTACTTTGCTTCTCTAACCTTCTCAGGTGTCCATATTTGACACTAAGCAATTTGTGGGCAGAGTGCCTGTCTGATCCTTCTTCTCAGTGCACAGTGAAGCTCAAATGATGAATATCAATCGGAGGAACCTGAGAGACTATTGGAGAGTAGCATGAGAGAAGCGGTAACCTGGGAGGGAAGAACCGGGCCAAGGGCTGCCATCAGCCATCTGGTGAAGTGAAGCACAGCAGGGCTGATTAGCTAAGGGGTGACCCATTAGGAGAGGCTGAAATGATGCATTGGGAGTGGCAAAGCTTAGGCCCAACACTTTACCTCCGAAAATAGGTACAGAGTTACTGGGAGTCCACCACTAGTTTTGGCAAGCCCTGGAGGATCCACCAGAGACTTTATGCTTACTTTACTACAAGACTGGGCATAAATAGCATTCACCAAGATGAGTCAAGGCTTTGGTAAGAAGCCTTGGGAAAGGAGGAGGCTGAGAGGGATAAGAGAAACCTGGTTAACCCCACCTTCCTGATTCCTGTGAGAGTATAGGCATGACCATCCACCAGCCCATTCTCCTGCACTCTCTCCTCCTGCAAAGACAAAAGAGAGACCCCAGTCAGTCCTTAGTTGCGTGCAGCTTATTCCAGGAATCGTGGGAGGCCTAGAATGAACTTGGAGGGAGCAGCGGTTTTTGGAGAGAGAAGTAGAAGAGAATCAAAATGATGTGGTACATCACAGTTTTCAAAACTCTTCACCATCCATAGTCTCATTTGACCTTCTCAACAACATATGAGCCACTTGGAAGTGATTATAACCTACATTTTACAGAGGACAAACTCAGATCAATTGCTAAGTCATTGTGTGAGGTTACACGGATCATTGAGGCAGGTCTGAACTGAGGGCTCTCTATTCTAGTTCTGAGTTCTTTACTGTAGTTGAATTGGAAGTGGACGTCGCATGTAGTTGATATTTAATACCTCTCTTCTCTACACACCATTTTTATTCTACCACTGCCCTGAAGACTTAGCTCCACTGCCCTGGCTTGAAGATCAGGACTCTAGGCGGTATTGGATGGAAGCCCTGGGTCCCACGCAGGAGAGAGCAGTAGCAGGCAGATGAAGGGAGATAATGGGAGCAGGAGAGGCTGCCCTGTGCCACCTCACATCCCACTCTCACCCCTATACGAGTCTGGCAGCCAATGAGGGTTCTGCTGTAGGTGGTTTGGGTTAGGATGTCCCAGAGGTTGCTAGGGTCTTCTACCAGGTTGATGGTCGTTGTCACCCCTCCAGTGAAGTCCACAAAGGCTTCAGACACCTGTCCACATTGCAAGTCTTCATAGGAACCAGAAAGCCTGCCCAGAGAAGGAATTAACATGAGAAGGAAAGGTAAAGGGTATTAATACAATAGATGGGAGGGCCCAAATGAGCAGGGAACCCATTACTGGGTTGCTCTTTGGCACGTATCTGCCAAGCCTTCTTTCCAGCCCAGGATCAAAAGAAAGAATGTATACTAAGAGTTCCTGTCCCTCGTAAACCCCTCCATCCATTAGAGAAAGGTAAAATTCCTGACTACTTCTTCAGCTGACTCCTACAGAAAACACCTGAAGACGTTCTCACTTCTGCATTGGCTGAGCATCACACTTCATTAGCTTTACCTGATTCTACTCCCCGCCCTCAACACTGAGAGAGAGAAAAAAAAAGAGAAGGGAGGGGGACTATTTCTAGTGGTTTTCTTACTTGGCATAGGCCTTTTCCAGAAGAGCTCCCCAGAACAAGTTCTTGTAAGTAGAGGAGACAAACACCAGCTGGCCAGCCTCATTCACGGGCAGACGGTCATCTACCACCACAGGAACCCATTTCCCAAAATGCCAGAACTGGAGGGAGAGAGCACCCACTGGTGAATGAGGACTGCCGAGGAAGATAGTCCATAGGCAAAGACATGGCTCTTCTATGAGCCCTGTTTTCCAATGGCCCTTTTCAGGCTGAGGAACCAGGAAGACACTCACCCAGAACTGGAAGATGCCAGCATAGTTCTCAGTGAAACTCTGATTCAGGGGAACAACCCGGCTCAAGATGTCCTGGTGCAAAGTCAGCGCATGCAAAGCAGCCAAGAACCAGCAGTCTCCTGCACCAGAGAGCACGCTGTGGCTGTGGGAATCTGTGCACGCATGCACATTCTGCCAGCATCTTCGTGCGCCTACTGAGGATGTCTTGCGTGCAAAAAAACACCTAGTTCCAATTGCTATCCTCTCTGGGCTTAGCCTAGTTTAGGAGACGGGAATTATACACTAGGAAGGGGTACAGCGAAGGACCAGAGCAGGGGATAAGAAGCATTGCCTGTAATCCAAACTTGACCCCAATAATTGAGCCACATTATTGGATCAGCTTTCAGCCTTCCTAAATGTGCCATCCTCAGGAATTTGGACCCAAACACAACCGACTTTTTCTAAATCCTACTGGTGATTTATCTATGTTCTTCTGAGAAAGTCTCACTTCTCCAGGACCCATTTTCCCATCTGCAAAATGGGTAACAATGTATTTGTGCCTTCCCTGAGGGCCAACAGTTGTTTCTATTTACTATTTTAAAAAGCCAAGTTGATGATAGCCCTGCTTGGACCTAATCTAGAGAGTCCAATAACTGGTGTCCCAAGGACTCACTATGGGGAGTGAAATAAAGGGCTCATTTTTCTCAAACAAAATTTAGACCTGTAAACTGACACTGAGGATGATCTGGGGCCTGGGCAAAGTGTGAGTTTTCCATACATCCTGAGAGGACAGGTTTCTATAAACTTCCAGCACAGGACAGAGCTCATCCAGGTGCAGTTAGGTAGAGTCGCTGCTGAGTGACATTTGCAGTTGGGATCTCTGGAGTCCCCTGCTTACCACCCCTGGCTTGGTGGGGCCAGGCTCGCAGGTGGCCAGGGCTGGGCACAGACTTACCTACAACTCCCTGGCACAAATCCATCCTTTTAGCCTTGGCAGAATAGAACTGGGGGTTGCTGTGCAGCTCCTAAAGGGATAGACAGAATTGTCATTATGTTCGAGAACAAGGAAACTCAGGAGCTACAATGACCATGTTTTCTCATTTCCTACAACTGAACTTCACAGGACAAAGATGAAGAATATATGTGAAATCAGTGCTGTCCCAGAAAAATCTTGGATATAGATTCTGTCCATTTTATTTCTAAGTCCTTCTTACAGCTCATAAAATTCAGAGTCCTGGAGAACTCTGTGTAGTCAGGGCCTGAGAGATAAGCCACCTCTTAGACCACTCTCAGGTTCACCCAGGTCCCCTCCAACTGGAAAAGGGGAATGTGAGAACTTACCCAATTCCCATCTCTTGGGGATTAATGACAGTAAGTAAGACCTGGTGTGAGAGTGTGAAATATACACTTGGTCTCCTTCCTCTTTCACAACATTTAGTTCCTAAAACCACTGAAATCACCAACAGGATGATGACTGTCTTTTGTATGCTAATGAGAAGACTGGAGTAGATTCAGGATGGGGGCTGATGTCTGGGAAAGACTAAGGGCACTTCAGCCTTACTCTCCTGGACTTCTAGGGAGTGAAGAGGGGCTGAAGGTTGAGTTGATCACCAAATGTAATGATCTACTCAATTGTGCCTTTGTAATGAAGTCGCTATTAACCCCCCAACCCTACCCCATACCCTGAAAGTCAGGGTTTGTGGAGCCTCTGGACAGGTGAACCATGAAGATTCCCAGAGTGGGCACAGAAGCTCCATGACCCCTTCCTACATCCTCTCCCTGTCTCTTCCATCTGGCTGTTCATCAGTATCCTTTATAATATCCTTAATAATAAGCACTGTGTTTCCCTGAGTTCCATGAATCTCTCTAGCAAATGAAGAGAACCCAAGGAGTGGATCATGGTAATACTGAGCTGTAGTCCAGGGTCAAAAGCACAGGTTATCCAAGGTGGGTGCCAACCTTACAAGACTGAGCCCTCCAGTTCCCAGAAAAAGTCACAGATTCTGCAAGCAGGCCATGTCTGCCATGCTTCAAGACTAAGTGAGGCACCCCCTCAGAGACCTGGAATCTTGCACACATCAAGATCACCGACTACAAGTGGGGGTCCATAAGTGGGGTCTGCCTTACAGACGAGTCCCCAGGCTCCATGGACTAGAAGGTGTGTCAGGCAGTCCCTGCATGAGATAGACCCACATCTCTGTGTACCAAAACCAAGTACTTTAGGGTGAGTTTTCCTCTGCAACTTGCAAAGTTCCCTCCGGCATTCTCTGGGTGGGGTTGGGGAGCAAGGAACAGAGGAGCTCAGCTTGTGTGTTCCACTAACAGGGCAGTCTCTGTTTGGGCTAAAGCAGATAAGGAAACAGCTGGACTAGAATTGCTTATTTCCCTAAAACCCCCCAAAGCTATACGTTTCTAAAATTAGAAATCCTGGACAAAAGTGTCTCCATTTCCATTACATTCCTATAAGGGGATTCTGGGGGTGGAGGGGACTGAGCCCTCATCCTGTGAGATCCAATGCAAAGGCAGCGTAGATAATGTCAGAACTGGACTGAATCAGAGGACACTCGGCTGGTGTCCACTGAAGAACTACCTGGTGGGAGGGGGTCTTCCCTATAATTTGGTGTCAGAAGCATTTGCTGTGTTGAGTGGAGAGGAGAGAGTAGGAAAAGCCCTTTTATCCTGTGTTTCTTAGACCTGTTCTCCACTAGCCCCGAGCCCTGGGCACTGCCACATCTTGTGGCTGTTCCTGGGCCCTGCCGTCCTTACCGGGGGCCTCCTCCACTGCAGGTGCGGTGGCAGCTTCTGAAGCAGAGGCCCGCGGCCGATGGAGCTCTGGGTGGCCGGGAAGCTGCTGTCTTCAAACAGACAGCGGTCCCTCAGGCAGCGTTCCCGCAGGGCCTCGTAGTCCTCTTGGGGTTGCTGCAAAGAGCCCCGCGTGGAGTCCTTCCACCCCTGCTTCCATCTGCCTCGGATAGATGGCCACACAGACATGGCAAAGCCCCCCGTGTCTTCAAGAACAGTCTCTGCTGAAACAAAGCGTGGACAATCAGTTTACTCCCTCCTGGGGAGGATGCAAAGAATGCGACAGGAGAAAAGAGCCTGTGGGAAAGGAGTGGGTGTCCTTGAGCATTGACTCAGGTGCTTAGGTCCTGGTGGGGGACCTGGGATCATAGACCCTGCCTCTGTGAAGGGCAGGGTCTCACCAGCCTGGGCCACCACCTGTGCCAATGTCGCAGGGGCAGCTTGGAGCTAGAAAGCAGGGAGAAGAGAAGCAAGAAGCTGAAGCTCAGCTCTGGGGCTCAGGGCCCAGGTGCCATGGGCCCGGCAGCGGGCAGCAATGGTGGTTGCCTGGTCAGTCCCACACACAGGGTGATTGGCACACGTGGTCCCTCCGACTCCAATATCTTCCTCATTTTTCTATGCAAAGCCTCCTACATTTTTTTTAAGTGAACTCCTTCTGTGAAGGGTTTTTTGTTTGTTTTTGCAAAGTAAAAGAAAACACACACGGGGATTATGTAAATATTAACAGTTACCTATTCTATGCTTTTCCTTATTAACAGAATTAGAGTTTCAATCACACAGTTATGAAATTTGATTTCTTGGTCTTTGTCCAGGACACATTGAGCACACAATATAATTCTAGCCAATGAAACGAAGTGCTAAGTAAGGCCTTTGAAAAACTGATTTTTCCAGAAAAAAAAAAAGCCAGACTCTACTAGCACCACCCTGATTTTCCCTTCCACCAGCACCCCCGCCCCTCAACTCCTAATCCCTCACCATTCACACCATTTCCCCTTGCTGAAAAGCAGATGGAATGTCCAGGATGGAGCAACTGTCTTCGGACCTTTAAGAAAAAAGCCACATGCTAGAAGCAGATTGGATCTTGATGGCTTTTTTGAACAAATGCACCAGCCTTGGGTCCTCGCCCTGTAGACTTCTTGTTACAGGACAGACCATTTACTTACTTGAATCACTGAAATAGCTAGACTTTTCTGTAGTGTTCTTTCTGTCAGTCACCACATGCATGTCTGTTAAGCACAGCCATTAGCTCTCTTAACTGAGACACAATGACATGTAAAATAACATACATCTTGAGACTCTTCTAAAGTCTACTCGTGAGCTTTGTATTAAGAATTCTGTAAGCCAGCTTGGCCCTGCGAACCCCAATACTGTAGCATCAATTTGTTGTTCAGCAGTGATTGGTTAAGTCAACAACTTTATAGACTCTATTATGTGCATTTTTATCTACTTAGAATAAAAAGAAGTCAGAGTTAGAAGAGGCCTTAGAAACCTTCTAGTTTAGTATTTCTCAAAATAGCCTTGGAATTTTTTTCATCAAATGAAATCCTTCAGAGACTCAAGGTAGAGGCTTGAGTTCATAAGTTGGACCACGGTGCAACTTCGCAAAGTTTCTCATTGTATAATTTGGAAACCACCAATCTATCCTGTGCCCTCATTTTTTCAGATGTTAAAACTGAAAAACCTATTCCTTCATTTATTCACCAAAACTTTTTTTGGGACTTACCTTCTGCCAGGCTTGAGTTACGTATCATTCACCAGAGACTGTCCCTGTCCTCATTGCCCTTTCAGTCTAAGGGAGAGAAAATATTCTTCTGGGTGCCATATAGGGAGATTTCATCAGAGCCAGAATGCCGGGCTCTGACTCAGTGCTCAGTCCTCAGTGCCAGCATCTGCCTATTGTGCCAAGTGCACAGATTGGGGCAGAATGTGTCAAACAAGTTTATACCAAGAGTGAGTACTCTCTCATAGCTGTAGGAGTGATCTGAGGATCCTCTGCATTTGTTAAGATTTTACCCATCCTCCAAAGATCAACCTGAGTACCTCCCTCAGGAAACTGTCCTTGCATACCTGGGCACCACTGAGTTCCACTCATCCTACAAATTGATCCATTGCAGTCAGAGATCCTGCTGTTCTTGAAGGGAGGATGCTTCTTAAATTATCACCCGAGGAGGACCTGTATTTTTAATTTTTTTATTTCTAATTTGTCACAGAAACACAATGAAAATGAATTAGTAGAAATAAAATTTTGAAAAATATAGAAAATGGAGCCCTTTCTTTTAAATATTTTCAGATTCAACAGAAATGAAATTATTTGATTCCATCTCTGTACAAGTTTCTAATACCCGCAGTTTCATTTTTGGGCCACGGTGTGCTGCTAACAACCGGTTGTGAATGGCCCTGTCTTCAGATCCATGTTGGTTTCTGCTCTGAGTTATTCATGCACAAAAGCTTCCTCTGTCCAGTGCTTTTTCTTTGTTGTTGTTGTTTGTTTGTTTTGTTTTGTTTATCCCCCATGGAGTTGGAATGTTGCCTGCCTAAAACCTTATCACTCTGTGCGCTTAGGACAGCCTATTAGAGGCTACTCTTTGTTACAGTGGGTGCACACTTCCTGAGGGAAGACCCAGCACTTCTAACACAGGTTACAAAGACCCAAAAGCTGTTGCTCCCCTCTTCTGTTTCTTCCTGTTAAAGACAATGTACAACTAGGCAAAGCTTCCTCCAGCCCCACCCCATTTTTTTCCCAACAAGTTTCTCCACCGCATGTACATTTATAAACAAACTCAAGAATATACAAAGGCAAGGTCTTACTTCTTTGTTCCTCTAAGCCTGAACATCAGGCATTACTATTTGTGATGCTTGTAATAAATGATAGAAGATCCATTGGCTTCAGAACTAACTCAGGCTCCTGTCCTCCTTACCAAGTCCTGGGTCACACTCAGGTTCCTCTCTGAGCCTGAAAACATGTCAAGTGTGGCTCAGAGGACAAAATGTTCACCATGAGATCCTCTCATTTTCTAAATTTCAACATACACTAATATCTTATTTTTAAATAAACATTTCTAAGTCACTTTAAAGACACTCTAGACCCAGATGTGGGTGACTGGCAGTTCTTGTGTGTCTCGTGTGTGTTGTAAGCTGTGAATGAAACTGACTCATGCCCAGATTGGCACACCTCTCTGCAAAGCACCGATGGATCAGGGTCATATTTGGAAATTCATTTTGACTATTGTAAGTGAAGAGTGTTGGAGCAAGCACATGAAATATGACTGTGCAGACGGAACGGGGAAGGCCAACTAGCGCAAGATATTCGAGTATGCATCCTGCCGGGGCCTGAGAGCTCTTTGCTTGGCTCCCCAAAGGGGCTAGCCTGCTCTGCAGTGTGCTTCAGGTCGGGATTCATTTGTATTCAGGGAACAGAGCGTCAGAGCCTCAATCTTCACTTTTCCCATATCGACTGTTCTCACCTTGGCTATAGATGTTGTGTTTCAGGAAGCAGGTTGTGATGGTGAGGGGGATTCCTGGTGCCTGTGAGCCTCGTCTCCTTGATCCAGAGGAGAACTAATACTTATTTAAAATAAATATCCCCTAAGTCACTTTAAAGAGAACCTAGACCTAGATGTGGGTGGTTGGCAGTTCTTGTGTGTCTCCTGTGCTGCTAGCTGAACATCAATAGAGCATCACCAAGCAAGACTCCTGCCCGTACACTCAGCCCGCAGTGCAATTCCTGTCTCCCAGTTCCCAAGTGCAGGAGCGGTTTTCTCATCTCTCTGACAATGCTCTGTCTACTTGACATGTTAGCGTTTATGGTACAGGTAACTGGGGACATTTTTAAATGGGGAAAACTCAGGTTACACTTTTTTGTTAAAATTTACCTCTTGGGGTTGAGCTCAGTGGTATTTCAGTAGCTGGTATGTACAGAACCATAAGCCAGTTTTGCATCTCTTTCCAAGCCTGCTTTCAGGGATGTTATATTAGTAGTTTATAACTGGCCACAATGAGGGTATTTTTACCCAGAATTGGCAAATTGGAGCTACTTTGCTTTTGAAAAAAAATATATATATATTTGAGAGCTGTTTGTTACCAACACAACACTGGTAAGAGAGCAGATGGCCTGCTCCTGTGAGCCTGGCCTCTGAGCATTTCCCTGAGCCTCAGGAACAGAGAGAGTCTACAGCCTGTGGTGAGAATCCTTGAAGGGTTTACTGATGGTGGTGTCTCAATGATCTTGGGAGGAGGGGTCAACCTCTGACAAGATGGACAGAGGGAATTATATCCCTACTGTGTAACTTTTAGTCAGACTATAGGTCTTTATATATCCATCCTAAAGATTTTAAATTCAGAATGTCTTCTCACTTTGCAATGAGTTTTTTCCAAAACACAAATATGTATTGTAGGAACATTAGGAATAAAATATAAAATAAAATTATCCATATTTCTATTACTCAGAGATAGCCATGACTCACATTTTAACTTTTAGAAAAATGTTTTCTATGCTTAATAATACATTTTTAAAGTGAGATAATATTATACATTTTGTGGTAAACCTTTTTTAAACTTGACACTATCCAATGGACAATTTCTTTTGTCAAGAAATTAAATATATTAAATATGTTTTATTCTAGCCAAATATGACATACCATAGGTCAATGAAAATTTATTTTTAAAATCAACTATTTTTGGAATTTCATGTTTTTGCCAGTTTTCCATTGCCCTATACAGCACCAGAATTACTACCTCTTAACTATGTAGTTGAGCACATCTTTAATTGTTTTCCTAGGACAAATTAGAAATGCAATAAAATTTCTTTATCCTTGTTATAGTATGTGCATGTATGTATCATAATATTGACTCTGGATAATGTGACCCCCTGAGGTTTTATTTTTCTCTGTTGTATTTTTAAAATATTTCTGAACTCTGCAATTAGCATGAATTGCTTTTATCATGAGGAGAAAATGGGCTTAACAAAAATATAATAATATAATATAGATGCAGAATTGACTGGGCAGAGGTACAGGGGAACTTTCAGGATAGTGGAAATGTTCTATATTGTTTGTGGTGATGCTGAACAGGGATATACAGATTGAAATTCATCAAGTCATACACAACATACTTAAAAACCCACAGTACATTTAATTATACATAATTATAAAATAATTGGAATTGAAATTTTTAAAGCTAATATAGAAAAA